ATTAACAGGAAGAGCCCTGGAAAAGTTAGAATTTCATTTCCCATGTGGCCAGTATTGTGAGCATGCCTCAGAGGGGGCAGCACATCTGAGCAGTATGTGTGCCCATAACTTCCAATGCTTCAAGCCCCATGAGATGAAGTTCCTAGGAGCACAGAAGAGTGCCAGCATGGAGTGTCTGGGAGATATTGGACCTCATTGAGGTGTGGAGAGAGGAATCATTCTGTCTGAGCTCTGAACCAGCAAAAGAAACACAGACATGTACACAAAGATTGCAAACTGCCTGGTGGCCAAATGATACCTCAGCAATACCCAGCAATGCAGAGTCAAAATAAAGGAGACGAGGCAGTCGTATCACAAGACAAAGGAGGCGAAGGGACGGTCTGGTGAATCACCACAAACATGACTGTTCTACGAGCAGCTGCATGTGATTTTAGGGGGTGACCTAACCAGCTTCTCAAGCCTGACCGTGGAGTCCAGCCAAGACACTCCTGGAGTGTCAGCATGGAGGACAGCAAGGTAGCGAAGATGGGGAAGGAGGAGAATGGCCATCTGATGACTGGCGAGAACCAAGAAGTTTTCATCATGTTGGAGCCAGTCCCTTCCTCCCAGAATGTTTCCCAGCAAAGCACTGATCCCAGGGAGGGTGCTTCTGGTGAATTCACAATTTTTTTCTTACAACAAGTAGGTTAAGGCAGTTGGGTGTGAAGTGTTGTGTGCTCTGTGCCTACACAGCCCAGGGAGCCCAGAACAGCTTGTTAAGGTGTCTGGAGAGGAAGCGGGAGTCCTCCCTGTACAGCTCTATGAAGCTGTCAGATAGGAATTCTTTGATCCTTCTCACAAGATTTGTGGGAAAGCCAGCATTATTCCATCCTCCACAGTAGGACACTTTCCCACGCTAAGCCACCAGTAAGTGGTCTGGTATCATTGAACCACAAAGCACTGCAACATAAGGACCGAGTTTCTGGCCACATTCAGTCAGTATCCACTCCCTATAATTCTGGATGATAGAGGTGGGAATCTATTAGCACTCTTCCCAGGAAGCTGCATGTTCCAGACACAGAGGGAAGCTGCTCTGCGTGTTGAGTGCCGGGAGAGGGTCATGGAATGGCAGGAGAGGAGAGCATGCAAGGAATTGCAGGCCAGGCAATAGGATAGTATCTTTGCCTCCTTGACAAAAGTAATGGAGCATCTGGCTGAATGCCTGGAGAACAAACCTTCTCCCCCCAGAACCAGAACCCTCTCCACCCTGTGCAAAATAACTTGCCTTCCTCTCCCAGTTCCATAGCTTCCACTCCAGGGGCCCCAAGAACCTGGTCAGGGGGACTCAAGGGAGCTTACTTTGGGAGGCAAAAGGCTGTTCATCTCATGTTTCTGAGGCCTTCCCTTCGGGTTCCCATCAGGGACTATTTTTATTTCCTTTCTGTATTCCCCAAATAAAAAAGCATGATTTCTCAACAATAGTCTCTTTATTACTTGTACCGCAGAGCTGGGGCGGGGGATTACTGGCAAACAAAGTGAATGTAGGGGCACCTTGTTGAGAGAAACATGCATGAGTCTCAATTTGGCCATTCATAAACGTTTCTTTCAAAGCCTCTTAGATTTGTGCTGTCCCATGCTGTGCTCTCTTTATTATCCTGGTGTCTGGCTGCTCAGAATTTCTGGCTAGGTGCTCTGCCTCAGACCCCTATCTTGCCAGATAATTTTCCCCCTTGCTCTTGCAAAGATTATGGAGCACGCGATAGGCTGACACTACAAAGGGAATGTTGTGAATATTGGTGGTGCACATAAGAAAATTCAACCTGTCCAAGGATAGAAAATGTTAGAGGGAACACTGCCCGGAAGGCAGAGGTCTGCAACCCAGCAGTTGGGAACTGCTGCACTACGGTATCTGTTTCCCAGAGTCACAATCTTCCATAACACAATGGTATTGATCGCCTTTGCTACTTGTATAATGACAGCCTCCACTGCGTGCGCAACCATGGCCAAAAAAGGTGCAAAAAGACTTTCCCATTGATCTCAAGCGGGGGGGAGAAGAGAAGAGAATAAAAGGGGTGCATTATGGGATGCTGACGACATGAATCCATAACTACCCACTGCACAGTTTTGATCTCATTATGCATTGGGACTATAATCCAGAATGCAAAGCAGTGCAGGCACAGAGGGATAGCTACCCACAGTGCATCTCTCTCAAAGTTGACAGTAGGCTCCCTAATGGAGATGTGTTACCTTGAAGTACATTGAATTCTTCCCCACAATGAGGAAATGGGCCTTCAACTTTGCAAAATCGGGTGACCAGACATGGACAATAATAGATTCGGCCTTATCTTGTAGGGTAGACATGGCCTTAGTGTCCAGAAGCCAAATCAAAAGGAATCACAATTTATTTTAAAATATCCTGAGGTTTTAAAATGTCTTTTGAAAAACAAGATTAATAGTTCTAAATTGTGAAAATTACGAGTGAATCTTGACACTGAGCTATAGAATTAGATGGAACGGTGTCTGGTAATTCTTAGGTTGAGCACACTGTCCTGTGCTCTTAGCATTCCTGATTTGCCAATGATTTTAAAAACCCTGGGCAAAAGAGGTATTTCTACATAAAGTTTTTTAAATGTTCCTTCATTATTTGTTCTGCTTTTACTAGCTCACTAGGGGAGACAAGGTCCAGTAGTACAGGGATAATTTTCCACTTGGGTAATTCTAATTGTTTTATAACTTGATTATTTTTTCTTGTAATGCTCTGTAGCAATTATCAGAATTTTGAAACTGGCAGTCCACAACAATTTCTAAACAGAAATCGAACACCTAAAAACAGTAACTACTTAGCTTAGCCTGGCTATCAGAGTTACAAAAATGAGTGTTTCTCACCCAAATAAAATATTAAACATATTTGAAAATACATCTAATTGCATATAATGTGCTACTGGCCAGGGTCCTGGGAAATGTTAATTCCTGTGATTTTGACAGTATAAGACTTTCACTTGTTTTCATTTCAGTAACAAAAATGTAAATCTGAAACCCATTCTGTTAAGGAAATTTACTCTGGTGTAGCTGTGTCAATGTAGTGAAGCTGCTGTAAAAATCTATGCTGAACCTGCACAAGGTGGGATTTACCTCAGTGCTGATTTCTTCTGTGTGTTGCTGAATAAATCTGATCCCCTGCTGTGCAGCATAGATACATCATGTTTGCACCATTGTAACTCAGGCAATATACTTACATTGCCATGAATTTTCTTTGTGCAGCAAGGGATGTGTATTGCGGGAAATGGGAAGGGGGTGGAGTTTGGTGAAACAGAAATACTTTTGGGAAGTGAGGTGGTATAAAACAGTTTTCCCCTACTTTCCTCCTGAGAATTTTTACAATCAATTCTGTGAAGCAGCACAAAATTGTATTTGCTTTACTGTAAAGTGTCTAGTAGCACATTCTCCATGCCCCTTGTGCTAGTCTTCCCACTTTAGAACAGGATATTTCCATGCATACAGTCCATTGGAAGCCTTGATTTTGGGAAGGTGTTAGGTTACTTCACTCTTTAGTGTGGTGTTTAGACTAGATAAAAGGGAAAAGTAACAAAGGCAAAGCCTTTAACCTTCCAGAGGGGAGCCAACTCCTCATGCTAAGCAGAGTCTAAATGTAATGAAAAAGGAGGCAGTGCAGCTATGACATATAATTCTGAAAATTTTGCCTGGAATACTTAAATGCAAATGATTGAAGGTGGGGGCGTATTAAATATGACCCATTTCAGTGAGTTCGTATTGCTACAATAAATCAAACAGAAAAAAAGTGAACTAAAATTGACAGGTATTGATTTTAGATGCAATTAGACAGAAGAGAAGCTTGCTCCTCACATGGAAGTTTTTCGGGAAATGAAAGAATACCTTGGGAGTGAATTATCAGCAATTTCCCATAGACCACACAACAATAAAGGACAATTTTCTGATCAAAGGACCAAAAAAAAAAAAAAGTTTGTGAAAATAGAAGAGCTACTATATTATATTAGCAACTCTGACTTACACTGACTTAAATTTTGCTAAATAAAATCCAGCATATTTGTAAGAACAGTATATAAATCACTTACACATTCTCTGGAACAATTCTCAGCTTTGTTTAGACCAGCCCAGCAAGATATAACTGATAATTTGGAGGCACTGTAGTGGAGCATTAAACAATAATGACAATAAGTTAACTGGGTTAATAGTTAAGGTTTAACTGTTAAATAGAGACAAAATTACAAGTGTTACATTTATTCTCAACATTGATGGAATATTTAAATACTTAAATATTTAAGTACTGAGGGGGAAAAAAACCTTGTTAATAAAAGAGGAGCATGCAAAGATCTTAGAGGTAAGGGAACTATAAAACATTAGGTATAGAAAGGGACTAGAATTGGCATTGTTTAAATAGAATGTGTAAAAATGGAGAATTACTGCAAAAGAGGGTTAGATAAATAATATATTTTATATACCTCTCAAATATTAATGAGAAGAGGCCCTGGAGGGAGGGTCACTTTAAGGGGCATAATGATTTTTAAAGTATTTCTTGTGTTATCAATAATTCCTCTGTTTATTAGAATGGCAAAAAACTCTCCCTCAAATTTTACTTATGATTTGTAGTGAGTACTTTCTTCATGAGACTACTCTAGTCTCTTCCTTTTGTTGGTGAGGCAGGAAGGGACATGATTGGAACTTGTTGATTCATCATCAGAACTCATCAGTTAGTGAAAAATCTCGCTTGTACCAAGTTGTTTCCATGGACAATTCACTCTAATACGAAGGATTACTGTGAAAGAGACCAAGTCTCTGGAGCAGACTAAGAAATCTAAGTTTCAGATGTGGACTAAGTAAATTGTATATTTTGGTATGAGCTATTGTACTGAGATGTTAACAATATTAACATCTTATCGTTCTTGATTGCTCCATATCTGTGATGGTACTTTTATAACCTAGATTAGTTAATTTTATAACATGGCTATTACTAAGTATTGTATTTTTATTGCATTTTAAAGGATTCATCCTCCTGAATATTTCAGGAAGAAATATGCTCTGGATGAAATACACTATACAAATGAGGTAAGCATCTGCTTTTCCTAATATTTTTCCTATGAAAATAAAATTGATGATTGTTCTAAAAGTATGGCAGTACTTTCATACAAAAAATCTTGTTCCACTAAATGTTATTTCCTAATTAATTAGTCTTTCTTCCAGTTTTTGAAGAATGACATTCATTTTTTAAATTTCACTAAAACCCTTTAAAATATCATGCTATCATTTTATTGGATTGTACATTGAGACCAATTGAAAGAGACTTTTTAAATATGCTCTGTATTTGGCCATGATTTTGAAGGGTTCTGGTAACCTATGGGGAAAAGACAGACAAAATGCCTGATAACAGGTTTGCAATGTTTCTGTGACCCTTAGAAACTTGCAACAGGAAAATGGTGCCCTATTTCATAAAATGTTTAAATTGTCATTGGCTGCTTGAATTTAAAATATATTAAATGTTCATTTTAATTATTTATTCTGTTATTGCTTTTAGTCTCTTGTATTCATGTCTCTTTTAAATCCAGGTCTCTTTTAACTCCAGGTATTCATGTCTCTTTTAAATAACTGCACACTTAAGCACAGGTTGAACTTCTCTAGTCCAGCACACTCTGGTCCAACAACATTTGTGCTTTGGCATGATTTTCATTAGCTGGGTGTCCATTTACCACGAGTGTGACCAAGTTTCCGGCAGTCCCATAAAGTTTGTTTACGGCCACAAGTTTTGGATCTCTGTCTTTTGTGCTATTCTTTAGCTTTAATTTAACCCTAACTAGCTTCTAAGAGCCCAGTAAGCAGTAGAGATCTTAAATATCAGTTAATTGAATAGACGAGTAACCTCATGAATTCTTATTGTTGACTATTCTGTAGTCCCTGGGGGCAGGTCTGGCAACCAGTGCGCTCTGGCCTCACTCCAGAGAAGTCCCCTGCCACTCCACACTGTTGCCTCTGAATCTGGGGGCAGGTCTGGCAACCAGTGCGCTCTGGCCTCACTCCAGAGAAGTCCCCTGCCACTCCACACTGTTGCCTCTGAATCAGGTGGGAGCTAGTCTGCGAGGGAAGCCAGTTTAAAAACCAGCTCCCCTCGCAGACCAGTTGCTTGTTACCTTGTGCTGCTGTCTCTGATAAAGAGGCAGCATTGTGGGTGGCAGCAGGCCCTGTCTAGGTGGGGGTCTGAGCTCCCAGACCCGGTGTGAGCTGTTACTGAGGAGGGCTGCTTGCCTACCTGGCTCCTAATACACTTTAAATGCAGAGCTGCTATGCTGGTTAGGTCTCAGACCCGGCACAAGCCAAGACTGACTGGTGCTGCTGGCCAGCCTCCTAAAAAATTTACTGGCGGGGGGCAAAGTTTGTGTAGTGGATAGCACTAACCTATAAGCTTTTTTCTTATTGGTTAATCAACTACACTATTGCACCCTAGTAAGCAGCGGAAGTATTGGTAATGCTGCTAGACAATATTGACAAATTCTCTGGTTTGGCACCAGTCAGGTTCTGAGAGTGCTGAAGTAGAGATGTTCAACCTGTATTTCTTTGTACAGTGATAGAAATGTAGCTGTGTTAGGTAGTTTTGAACAGATGTTATGCTTTTTACACCTGTCTAGTATATTTTTTTTTCAGTAGGAAAGCTCAGCAGAAATATGGCAGCATGTTTGCCAAGCTCCGTGTTAAGTCTTATGGAAAGCAGCTTAAAAAGGAAGATCTTGCTATTTCTGTCCTCTGCAGGATGCTAACCTGACTTGCTAGCCCAAAATCTTATTTTTACCAACTGTAGATTCATTTCATTTTCATAATAAAATTAACTTTAAATTGTGATTGTGCTCATACATTTCCTTAAATGTAGGCTAAGGAAGCTTTGAAGAGGTTGCTGCTTCATGTATTTGGATTGAAATAATGCTTTCTTCATTTAGAATACAGAATATAGAAGCCAAGGCCAGTAATTCCAAGTACAAGTTGAACCTTGTTGGTCTGGAATCCTTAGTGGTCCCAAACCAGGGAGTTTTCTGGACCAGGGAAGGTCAAGGCTCCCCTTCCGTCCATCAGCTCCATTCCTGGGTAGAAGCCCCAGCAAATAGGCTCTACTCCTGGCCCTGGGTGGGGCTGTGCTTTCCACCACCTGGCTGAGCTGTGCTCCCTGCCACCAACCCCATGCCGGCTCCACTGCTGCCAGCCCCCACTGCGGCTGCACTCCCCCCTGCTGGGCCTGGGTTGTGCTCCAAGCCTCTGTCCCCACTGCCACCAGCTAAGACTGCGCTTCTCACCCTGGCTGTCCCCCACTCCTGACTGAACGCTCTCGTTCACCAGCATGTTGCCGGACCAGAGAGTACCGGATTTTAAAGAGTTTCACCTTTTAGGAACACATGCTTCTTTATGAAGGATTTATTGCTATTTTGTGTACTGTCTCCTATCAACAAATGCCGTTATCATATATCTTTATATTCTGTCTAGTGTGTACAATTTTATTCAGGAAAGAACGTGGGGCTCTTTAATTTGGGACAATATGTAAGCCTATGTAAAGACCTTATTCTCTCTGGAGTATCCCAGCTTAAGGCATAAACCAATTAAGTTTAGCAATATTGTATTAGTCTACCATGTAAACCTGTTTATATCTGATTATAGCATATTGTTAAATAGTAGGTTAGCAATGTCAAAATGGCCTGTAGGAATTCTGTGACAATGCATTATATATACATTAAACAAACACAGTTCAAGAACACTGTAGCTTTTTAACTTAGAAAGGAAAAGGGGCTTACATGAAAACTGACCAGTTCTTTTGAAGATAAGCTTTCTTTCTTTACTTAGTACATATGTATTTGAGAGACTATTTGTATTATCCAGGAATCTTTCATCTTTCAAAGTAGGGATATAAAGAGTTAAGTGGTGATCTGGACTAGTCGGACCTGCTGTGCCTCAGGAGAAGGGTGCTTTAGCCTTGTTTACGTGCTTCACCAGCTGGCCGGAGCAGCTCGTCGCCCACGACACATTGGGCCCAATTGAGCTGGAGCACACCAGCCAGGCCTGCCATGCTGTGGGCAGAGGGAGATCCAGCCTAGAGAGCAGCTGCCCGCCTGCAGTGCAGCAAGCTTGGCCTGGCAGGAGCAGCCCCCAGCCGCAGCATGACACAGGTGGGGGCTGCTGCAGTCTGGCCAGGCCCTACTGTGCTTTTCTGCACGTGGGAGGGTGTTGAACTAGTTAGCTTTTTTAAATGGGATTTTACATCCCTATTTCAAAGGCTTTGAATACAATGCTTGCACATTTTACTAGGAACGTACTCTTCCTCAGTGCCAAGCACTAGGTGCTTGGTTTACAAAAGTACTTAGGGTACCAAAAGATGCAGAAAATTACTTCACCTGCTTAGGCATTTCTGTAAACCCCCCTAAGTGCCTTATTCCATTTAAGTGCTTTTATGAATTCCACTAGACCTGTAAGTACCTTTTGTAAAATGACCCTAGACAGTGGCATTGGAACAGTTTTTATAGTGAGGGTGCTGAAAGGGCAGTGACCAAAACTGTTAACCCTGTATATGATGGAAACCACTTCAAGCCATGGGATGCTACTGCATCCCCAGCATCCCTACCCTAGAAGTCTGATGACTTGGTTATCCATTATGTTAGCATCTTGGACATGAACTCCTCAGGTGAGCATGTGCACCATATGTTTCAATGATGCATGCTTCTGGAAAATGTGTAGTAGTCACAGTATCTCATGAAGATTAGAAAATACAAAGAACTATAAAAGACGTCACAGTATTGATATTCAGCGTACTTGTGAGTATGCGTTTGGATCTTTATCCCGTGAGGTGTGTGTTTTCTGATGTAAATTGGTAACCGGTTTATGCTAATTTGGTGAATATCCTTGTCCTAGTTAAATGGTTCATTTATTGGATCAATAAAATATTATCTTAGCACCCACATCTTTTCAGCCACATTAAAAATTCTACCTATGTATGGCTCCAAAATTTTCTTCTCAAAGAAGTGGCGGGGTAAAAATGTTGACATTTTATCTGATCCTCTCCATGTATCTATCAGTAATTTAGTTACAACCAAAAGACAGCATTTTTAATACCAATAGTAATATGAGAGAGGGGAACCCAGAATGTGTTCAAGTCTATATGTTGTAACTTAAGTTGAATTCATGCTGATTTTAGATAGTTACAAGTTGCAACTATAAATGTCTCTAGTGCGGTTTAATAAGATTGTTAGACTAATTCAAATGGTGATACCATTTGTAGTGAGATGACATTGATATACTTTACTTCTTTTCCCAAAAGACCAAGCAAATTGGTCAGATGGCTGATAAATATTGTGTCTTTCTCATTCCCTCTAAAACAGTCAGGAAACCAAGGTATTGAGGAATGTTTGTCTCACTATAAAACAAACCAAGGGCATTTAACTGTGACTGTGTTTATAAAATTAGTAGAACCCTAGCAATGTCTAGTCTTTAGAAATTAGGCTGTTGACTCTACATAAACTATTCTGTAATAGAAGGCAATCTATTGAAATAACAATACTTTGTTTTACTTTAATTTCTTCTGGCATACAAATCAAAGAAGTTTAAGAGCATAAGCTTTTAATCACAGCTAGTGGAAAAGAAGACCTACTGTAGCCTCTATTTATAAATGTGTCAAAGATGCTAAAGGAAGTTGGATGTTGTACAGAAGTTTTAATCAAGAAAAGATGACTGTAAATAGTCAGCACACGATAGTGCAATAACATTAACGCATGCTGGCTGTCTACACTGGGCCACTTATTCCGGAAAATCAGCCGCTTTTCCGGAATAAGCTGCGAGCTGTCTACACTGGCCCTTGAGCTCTACTGTACAAAATCAGCTGCTATTCTGGAAAAACTATTCTGCTCCCGCTCGGGCATAAGTCCTTATTCCGGAACACTGTTCTGGAAAAGGGCCAGTGTAGACAGCCCAGTAGTCTTTTCTGGAAAAAAGCCCCGATCGCGAAAATGGCGATTGGGGCTCTTTTCCGGAAAAGCACGTCTACATTGGCCACAGATGCTTTTCCGGAAAAAGGGCTTTTCCGGAAAAGCAGCCTGCCAATGTAGACACTCCTTTTCCGGAAAAACTGAAAACGGAATAGTATTCCATTTTAAGCAGTTCCGGAAATTCATGCCAGTGTAGACACAGCCGCTGTGTTTTATATATACTAGCACTCCTCTTTTCCTGCTATATTTTCTGATTTCTGTGTTCTATTATGTGGGTTCATCATTAAAAAAAAAACCTTCTCAGCTCTCTCACATTTTCTTTCCAAAGAATGGCAGTTGATTTAATTTTGCAATGCAGTTGCTGTGTGTCTTAAAAGGACAGCAACTTAAAACAGCTCTTCTGTCTGAACATTTTTAGCAACTCTTGTAACAAGTGACATAAGATTACTGAATCTGAAAAAGATCAGAGAAACATTTTTCTTTTTTCCAGTTTGTTTGCTTTGTGCACTTGACAGCACTTTGTGTATAGTGGAGTGTTTCCTCCATCAGCTAGTTAGTCCATTTCCCCTGCCTGCCTGGGTCTTTCACACAACAACATGGAAGATGGGAGGATGGAAGAAAACACTAATTTAAAATGACAAAAAGTGACAGATCCACCAAATTTGTCAGGCTCCATGCATATGAAAAGCCTAAAACTACTTTATCATTTTTGTTGGCTAGTTTTCCCATTCATAATGTTTGTTTAATTGATATAGAATCAATTTTGGACATGGTATATTATGTCAGATGAGATTAGTCATGCTACTTTGGCTTTGTTCTGGTGTTTAACTTTTATTGTATCTCTTTTACAGCATAATGTTTTATTGATTTGTACTTTTCACCAGTTGTATTGCATTCTTTGCCTAATAAGCAGAACGTATGAAGTGACTTCTTTTAGCAGTTATGAAATGTTAATACATTTCTAAGATTGACACAAGTAACATTGACAAGAAGCTAATTGTGTATAATAAAATAGTAATATATGATGAAGATAGGGGAAAAAATTTAGTGTAACTGCAATCCTGTTCTTTTAGATAACCAGTGTCTTGGCTCCAAAGAAACCCTCCGTTCTTCTTACATTGGTAAGTTATATTTGTTATTCATGGAGAATACTCATCCTGTTGCTCTTCAGTAAACAGATGAATTAAGCAAACATGTCCACTTCTTGTGTATCCTCTCTGTCCTTTTTCTATCCCAGAGCACTTGAAGTCAGCTGCCTTAATGTAGTTGACTAACCTTTCTCCTCCCTTCTCAGATTTAGTCAGTCTTTTGTTAAATCCTGTCCCTTCTCCCTTGTATCCTACTACCAAAATTCTTATCCGTGTTTGTGTAGTTTCATACTTAATTTACAGGAAACCCACTTGACACCTACATTGCTTCCCTCCAGTCCAATTAAATACTCTGAATCATATCCTGCATACAACTTCAAGGTGTGGGAGGGTAGAGTTGTAGTGCTCTTCACTCCCACTCCCCACTTTCTTCCAGAGTACAGTAGATCGAACTGTCCTTTCCCCTTCTACTTTCCAATTTTCTGTTGGGACTAGTGCATGTGTCTGCGGTTATTAGTCTGTTTTTGTGGCGGTTGAGCAACTCCCTTTCTACTGGATCTGTTTCACTCAAAACTTCTTAATTCTCTGAGCTGCTTTCTCTCTATGAGCCTAGAATATTGCTGATCCAAAGAACATTCTTTGCTAAGTTCAGCAGAATTTTGGGACTCGTGCCTTTCTTCCACTGATCTTATTCCAAGCATAGAAAGGCAGTGCTGCTATGTCTGATTCCCCACAAATCTAGACACATCAGAAGTGCTATGTAGCAGCCAGAATGACGTCTTTTATTCTTGTGTGAATGGCAAGCTGTAGAAGAGGGGTACTCTAATTTATACAAAAAGAATTGCCAAGGCAGTATGGAATAGCGTCTTTCCAAGGATGCATGTGTGACCTCACCCCATCACAGTGACACTGTGACAGGGAGTGGTCACAGCATGTTTTAAAAATTCCAGTACAGTTTTTATTCTACTCCTGCCTGTTACTGTCCTGTTTATGGGATGCACATCTTTCGCCCTCTGCTCCCCCTGCAAGAAAATTGTCACCAAGCTATTTTAGAAAAGAAAAATTTAGGCCTGCTAAGATCTTCGGAAGAATATGGCAACTTCCATTCTGTCTGTTCAGTAATGTACAATTGTTTACATTTGTACCCTTGTTTTTATATCTTAACTGATTTTATGCAGTCATATTATATGCACAAATAAGCTTTCTAAAAGTCTTTATGTAATACGTTTTGTAAATTTATTATAAAAATACTAGTCTTTAGCACATAATGATAGTTCTTTTTATCTTCTCCTCCAGCGTGGTCTTAATACTGATAGTGGACACATCTGCAGGGAAGCTTCATTTGATGGAATCAGCCAGTAAGTGACTATTTAGGTGGCTTTTATACATTAATTAAATTGTTGGATAATTTATTAATAATGTTATACTGGTTTTGTATTTTAAATTCAATCACCATGGTTTTTGCTCATGTGAATTATAAGATGCTGTTAGAAGATGTTAAGCAAGAATCTATATGAGCTAGGATTTCATTGAAATCAAGAAATTTGACTTTGATTTCTATGGTTACGTCTATACAGGAATTAGCCATGCATGGATGGACTTTGCCAGCAGACTAAGACTCACGGAGCTTGGGCTGTGGGGCAGTTTCATTGTTGGGTAGACTTCTGGGCTCAAGCCAGAGTCAAAGTTCTTGGACCCTTGGACTCTAGAGTGAGCCCAGAAGTTTACCCAGCAGTGAAACAGCCCCATAGCCTTGCAAGACTGAGTTGGCTGGCACAGGCTAGTCATGGGTTTTGAGTTCCTATGTAGACAGATCCTTAGTTTTCCATGTATTTGGTTGTTTGAAAATCTCTTTCAATCTGTATTAGCAACAGCAGAGATGGGGACATATTCCTTTTTAGATGACTTGAACGTTAAAGAAAAAAACACTTAAATTCCTTGTTACTGAATATTTGAATTTTTACAATATGTGAAAAATAAACGTACAATAGTCCGTGGCACAGCTGACCCCACAATATGCCAACATCTTTATGGCTGGCCTCAAATGTTTCCTCAGCTCTTGTCCCCTATTTTCTTTATTCTACTTATGCTACATTGATGACATCCTCATCATATGGATCCACAGGAAGGAGACCTTTGAAGAATTCCACAAGGATTTCAATAACTTCCACCCCATCATCAACCTTAGCCTGGGCCAGTTCACACAAGAGATCCACTTCCTTGACACTACATTACAATTAAATAATGGCCATGTTTCCAGTGCATTATGTCTGAAACCTACTGACCATTACACTTACCTACATGCCTCTATCTTCCATCTAGGACATATCTCTCAATCAATTATTTACAGCCAGGCCCTAAGATACAACCAGATTTGCTCCAGTCCCACAGACTGACACAAACACCTACAGGATCTCTATCAGGCATTCTTGAAACTTAAATACCCAAAAGGGAAAGTGAAAAAAACAGATTGACAGATACCAGTATTGAGGCATCTGCTTCTTCAAGATAGGCCTAACAAGCAAACTAATAGAAAACCACTAGTCATCGTCTACAGCCCTCAATTGAAACTCCTTCAGCGCATCATCAACAATCTACAAACTATCCTGGAAAACAATCCCTCACTCACAGGTCTTGGGGGACAGGCCAGTCTTTGCCTACAGACAAACCCCCAACCTGAAGCAAATTTCTTTCTAGCAACCACGTATCACACCTCAAACATACTCACTGAGGAACCTACCCCTGAAATAAACTCCATTGCCAACTCTGTTCACACATCTATACACTATCACAGGATGTAACTATATAAGCCACTATATCAGAGGCTCATACAACTGCACATCTTCTAATGTGATCTATGCCATTAAGTGCCAGCAATGCCCCCTGCCATGTATATTGGCCAAACTGAACAGTACCTATGACAAAGGATTAATGGACACAAATCAGATACTCAAAATGGTAACACACAGAAACCTGTAGGGGAACATGTTAACGTGCTGGGGCACTCATTAATGGATTAAAAGCAGTCTTCCTTCTACAAAGGAATTCCAGGAACCAACTAGAGAGAGAGAGACTGCAGAACTGGCCTTCATATGCAAATTTGACACTATTTCTCAGGGACTGAACAAAGACATGAACTGGATAGGTCGTTATATTCAACTCCCAAATGAAATCAAAAGCTAAGTAGGGGACACTTACAGCCCACTCAATTAGCCTCATTTAACATGGGCACTATAATTGACAGGTTTTCCCCTGCCTGCTCTCCCTTCTTTTCTGCTCTAAATTGGGAGATTTTTCCTTCTTTCTCTACTCATTTGAAGAAAGGGTTTGCCAGTGGAAGCTCATGATATATATATATTGTTAATCTCTTGAGACCATGTCTACAGTAGGAGATTATTTCAGTTTCACTATATTTCACTTCTAGGCACCTGATTTTACAGATTTGAAGTTCTGTGTCCTCACTACGGGGAAGCATCAAATGTAGTCCGAGGCAGGCTCCATTAATGTGGAAGTGCTACCTTGGACTCAGAGCCCCAGGAAGCACTCTGGGGAGGTGTGGGAGGTCTTCTGGAGGCCAGTTAGTTCAAACTAGTGGCACTGAAGTGTCCACACTAATGTTATTTCAGACTTACAAATTTGGGAATTAGGGATGTTAGCGACAAGTCAACTATCTAATAAGCCAGTGCTCTCCAACCATTTAAAGTGTTAGATCACTTTTTTGAATTTAAGCGCAATCCAAGATCTACCTCAAACCCAAATACCCTTGCCTCGCCTTCTTGTGCCCCTTCTCTGAGGCCCTGCTCACTTCGTCTGCCCTTCCTCCCCTACCCTCGCTCACTTTCACCAGGTAGAGGCAGAGGGTTGGAGTGCAGGCTCTCGTCTTGGATTAAGGGATTTAGAGTGTGAGAGGGGCTCTGAGCTGATCTTGGGGCAGGCAGTTAAGGTGCCGGAGGGGGTTCTAGGTGTAGGGTCTGGGAGGGCGTTTTGATGCATGAGTGCTCAGGGCTAAAACAAGAGCTTGGAGAGCTGGAGGGGGGTTCATGACTGCGGTGGATTTTTGGGATGTGGGCTCCAGCTGGGGACTGCTTACCTAAGGTGGATCCTGGGTGGAGATGCAGTGAGGCTAAAGCAGGCTCACCTCTGTCTTGGCCCTGCACCACTTCCAAAAGCAGCCAGCAAACTCCATTCCAAGTCCTGTGGTGCCCACCACCCCAGCTCTGTGGCGATAGGATACAGAGTAGGAGAGGGGGCACTTTGACATCAGCGCCCTCCTCTCCCTCCCCTGCCCCGCACAGCAAGCAGGAGGCTTCCGGGGATGGGGGGAGGCAGCTCCAAGGCAAAGGGCAGCAATGGGCGGAGGGGCAGCTGAAGTGCTGGCACTTGATAGTCTCTTGGCTAAACCAGTCAGGATCACCGGTCTGAGGCTCCAAGATCTACCAGCAGATCCTGATCTACTGGTTGGTGACCACACTGTGATAAGCAAATGCTTATCGGATAGTCGAGTAGCCATTTGACTAGTCACTTCCCCCTTGCTGCCTCTATCAGAGAGAGGGGCCAGAGCACATTGGCAGCCAGTCCCACTCGCGGGGACTAGAGAATAGTCGAGTAAATGATAAAAATTCATGAGGTTAATCGACTATTCAATTATTGGATATTTACCATCCCTAGTAAGAGCCCAGCGGCTCTTACTACATTTAAAATGCAGAATAGCAGCATAGGCGGCTCTGGAGCCGGCTCCTGGAGCTACCTCCACTGCGGCTCTGCACGGCAGCACTTATCAACTAGTCGTATAGTCAATACAAATTGTATCGACTATATGATTAGCCAGATAATTGCATTTTAACATCCTTGTTGGGAATAGTGTTATTCCTTGTGAAAAGCAGGACTAAATTCAGTGTCCTGAGGCACTCAAAGGGCCTAAATTGTTTCACTGTCTTCCCTGCTTATGTCATTACATCCTGTTTACTTCAATAGGATGCTATCTGTACCTTCTAGCTATTTAGCATTCTGCTCTTTCCATTTGAGAGCGCCGATAAGCTAATTCTTCTACAACCACAAACACTAAGAAACTCTTTTTGTTGCTGTTGACAGATGTGGGTAGTGCTTTTCATATTCTCTCCCTCTCTCATTTATGCCCCCTTATAAAAATTACTCACTGGTTTTTGTTGCATATGCTGGAGATCTATTGCATTTCACTTTTTATAACATATAACAGCTCTTCAACCATTTGGCATTGTAGTTTCCCCCCTGTATCTCCCTAATTTCTAGTTTTATCTTTTCAAGAGGCTGCCAGTTCTGTCATTACAAGTTGCTAAATTTATTTGACCACAATAGGCACTCTTGCTGTTAAGTGCTACTAACTAATTGAACGTGGGGGGAAAATGATCTTCCTAATGAAATATGCTCCACCTGTAATCTCTTGCATCTGCAAAAATATTTCTGCGCATTATTTTGAATTCTTTTGTAATAAACCTAAAACACCTTGAATTTTTGCCCACGTTTTTATTCTCAATTCTGCTTTTTTAAAATGCTTGCCTTCATGTTTAAATGAATTGTGATGTCTTTAAAAATGACTCAAGCTGGACTGTTTGACAGAACATGTTGTAAGTACTAACCTATACTCTGCTTCACATAAATAGTATATAGTCACCATTGTCTTGCTGTTCATAGGTTATCTAGACTTTCTGACCTCTTTATGATGATGAATGGATGTTCTCATCTTCTTGGTTGTGTCAGGTTTTTACAGACCTGGTGAAGATGAATTTACTTTTCAGGGGTTGTTATTTTACTTGGTTCCATTTGTCTGCCTTCTGTTATGCTTGCAGTACTCTATTTCTTTTTTTCTTTTTTGCTATGGATGATAATAAAAATAGTATCACTTTGTAAAACTTTTAATCTTGCTTTCTGTTTTCAGAATGTTCATCTGTTTTCAGGATGTTCCTGACACAAGCGACCTCTTACTTGATCTAATAATGTTGCTTCCTTGTCTCACTTTTTCAGCCTTTTGAACATATCTCCTTGAATGTTAATTATTTTAGTTTATTAATTTCTGGCTTCAAAGCAATTATCTTTTCTCCATGATGATCCCTGGGTTATTCCTCCCTTGGCTGAAAGGGCAACCTTAGGTTGCCTTTACCCTCCCAGTGATGAGAAAGTTAACTTTGTATGTATCTGCCAAAAAGAGGCTCTAATAGTCAGTCACATCATCTTTTCCTGTAGTATAATGATCACTTGCTCTGCTGTTTAATTTCATACTGAACATTTTGAAGGATTAGAAATCAGGTTATCCGCAACTTATAAAAGTACAGTATTGTTTGTCTTGGTGAATATTTCTGTTCACTAATGAATACTCACATGC